CCTCCATTGCAAACATGAAATGATCTTGTCGTCACTAAGTCACACGTCTCTACCCCCGCCATAACCCTTGATCGTCTCGCAAAAATGATCCTCCCCCTCAAGAACTCTGTCCAAAGCAATATCCACGTGATCAAAAACTCGATGGAGGATCAAATTCAAGACCTCCATGACATGAACCCCACCAATATGACAATCCTACCCGCTTGCCTCAGCCTATCACAAATTCTGTTCCTTCCTCCTCTTCACAGGCCGCGTCCAAAACCACCCACCTCCTTTGCCACCTCTACTCCAGTTTTGCAAACTCCCTCTCCATCAGAACCCACCACTGACCTCTGCTCGACCTCTCCTCCAAAACCTTTTGTCGTTGCCCCTATCATCAATGCTTCAACCCCTCCTGCTTCTACTTCACCCCACACACAATTTCAACCACCACCCTCACCACTCTTCCCACGTGCATGCCATCCCCTCCTTCCCCCGTTGCCAACCAACCCACTCATTCCGTCAACACTAGACGATCTTACCACTATTGGCTCCGCCTCATCTGCACCCTCTGATATCAATGCCTTCCCTGTACTCATAAGAACTGGAGTGGGCCCGGCGTGAGTCCCATGCCGGCGGGGCCAGTGTGTGAGGTATGGCGCGGTTGTGCGCCCCAACCCAGTCGGTGAAAAAAGGAATGTTTACCGTCCAAAGAATTTTGAATGAAAAAGATCGGGAAAACGTCATGAGTCCGGTAGCAGGGACCTACAGACTCCTACCCCTTGCATCTGGTACAGGTGCACCTGAAGTTCCCGTTGGAGGATACGCTCCAGGTACGTATGATGGTGGTTTACAGCGAGGGCAACGACATCTACTCGAGTCACCAATGGGGATCGGTGTATCATGCCACAAGAGCCAAATATTTTGAGAGGAACCGATTCTACGATGATGATCACTAATACAGTTATCAACTTATCTAGGAAAAAAAGCTGAAAAACAATGATGATCCCTAACACAGTTTGTCTACATCTACTAGTTGGGGAGCTTTACGAGTGGCCAGGCCATGGCGACAACCTTGCATCATGCATGGAGGACCATAACGGATCTGAAGTTCTCAACTGACCAGCACTAGATAGATACTGAACTCGGCAGACTATCCCGTCCCCCTCCCCCCCGATGAGACAAACGCTCTCGATCGTGGTACATGTATTTACGTGTGTGACATTGTGTGTACTGATGAACATCACGCCGACTTGGAACTCTGCTTCCTGTCACAGTTCAGCTGAAGGCTCAGAAACATACTTACCTGACGGCTGATGCATTAATACAGCTGAAACATAAAAGCAGCAGCAAAACAGACCGGCAACACACAAAGACAAAGAGCCGAAAGTTCTGTGCAATTCGAGTCATGTCGACCATGACAAACAGCGCTGCCAATGACTTCCCACCATGATCCAATTGGCAAGATAGCAACTAACCAACATCCTCAATGTCTTAACTTCGAATTGCGTTTGTAACTTCTTGTTATTCAACGACTTGCTAGACCATACAAAGAAAAGCGACAACTTAAACCGCCAGTACCTTTCCCCGCTTGAAAATCAAATACGCGCCGGTACATTCGGAAGCCAGGCAGGATCAAACCGCCGTTGATAAATTTCATCAAGGACCGTTTTCTGTTTTGGGCCCTTTTTTTCTGCCCACGGCCGATTTATTTATGGGAAAGGTACAGGTGGTTTAATTGCAAGACTACTCTCAGAGGGGTGGAGCTGGAAATATGAGAGGAGAGGGGTGAGTGGTAGTACCGGTGGGGTGTCCCCTCGTCTTGGAGGAGCTGGACGCTTTGATGAAAGATTTGGGCTGAACTTGCTGATGAAGGATGACATAGAGGTGGACGACGGGAGTGATGTAGATGACCCATTTCCTGGCGTTTGCTGAGCCGAAGGGCCACTGGAGGAACTCCCAGAAGATCCTTGTGCTGCCTCCTGACCAGCTCTTTGTGGCCTGACAGCGCCGTAGGCTCCCCCTTGCTGATAACTGAGATGGGGTCGCGATGTGTGCGGGTCATTCGCCCCACCCTGTGATGCATCACGCCTTGCGGCCATGAGACGTTCCTCATGCCGGTGAAGTTCCCAGGCTAGTTGAAGATCGGCACTGGTATGGAAGCCACAAATAGAGGAGGGGGAGGGGGAGGGGAGAGGGCGCGGAGAGGATGCAGTTTAAAAAACCACGCAAAGACAAAACAGTCAGAAAGGCAGCCCCAATTGACCATCAAGGTAGGCCCAGGCAAACTTGCACAAAAGGGTGTTAATTTGTTAAATGGGTAACCATATGTCTGTTGCTAAAAGGCTCTGCAAAATGGCACACATGCATTAAGCCACCAGCACCTTTGGCCAAACATTTTCCCAACCCTGGAAATGAATGCCCTGTGCGGCAAAAAAAAACGAATCGGCACGGGGGGCCTTCTTCCGGCAGGCTCCGCCAGCCATTTGCTCTGGTCGCCTAACCCCCAGAATTCGCGGCGCGTTAAAGGCCACGTCGGAGAAAAATGGCTGGGCGAGGTACTGGTGGTTTAAGTAGTAGCTGGTGATATACTGCATGTACACGCACATAATTCTGACGTTGCTCCAGACCTCTGCATCACACCCAAGGGAAAGTCTAGGTGCAACTCAATGGGACTCCCCTCTCTGTTTAGACTTTGTATCTGTGCTCATTTCCTTTTTTCTTTTCTTCCTCCCCCCCCTGTTTTTCCCAAAGCGGGACTTTTTGGCTCCGGATCCATATCCATTCTGGGGAGCATCGGTCCGGTCCCAATTCCTAGCTTGCACAGAAACACAACTGCTTTCACACACTATGGTGAGATTTGCTGGTTAGTTAAAAATTCAAATTAAGCATTTCACAACCGGGAACTGAACCCAAAAAAAAAAAAAAACAAAAAACAAAAAAAAAAAACCTTGAACTGAACCAGACATCAAGGGAGAGGAGGGAACAGATAAAGGAACCCACTCGTAGTCATGTTGGCCCTGATTCCCTCGCTCTCCTCCTTTGTTGTACGACTGATCACTGTCTCGAGGCACATAGTAACCCTGAAGCCACAGACAAACAATGAAATAAAGAATCCTTATTTAATATTTATTATGTAGGCTATAAATTTATAGTTGATTACGATTGCAGTTAGTTAGTTCAACCAGGGCTGGTCCCTGGGCAGCCAGCACCGGCTCTGAGTACTTGGGTACCGTCCGGGGCGGGGCCCACCGGGTGAGGTCCAGGCAGGGCCCGGGGCACTCCCGACACTCAATATTTGAAAGGGGTAACTAAGGCGCAGTCACGATTTCAGTTTAAAATGCACTTCAGGCATCCATCCCTCGGATACAACACATCCCCACCCGACCCTAAAGCTGGTTTGTATACATTCACGATTTTCCTTGCTTTGGCACACGATTCGCGAAATCGGCCCTGAAGTGCATTTTCAAATTGAAACCGTGACAGCGCCCTAGTTTCCCCTATTTAAAAATTTGAGAAGATATAAAATGTCTGAAAAAAGTATATGTTATTATGTTGTGTAACATTGCAATACAAACAACTTCGGCTGAGGGTCTCATCGAAATTCCTTATGCACGGAAATGAGCAACGCAAATGACAGTAAACCAGACTGCATCATTCCATAGAAATCCAGATGACTTTGAGCATGATCTGAAAGCAGATCGCAAACTGAGAATACATTCAATACACCAAGTAAGTACGAGCCAAACATTGAAGTCACAAGATAATGTAACCCCTCTTCTAGCTTCTCATCACCAATGTCAACAACGAAGCTCCCTGACATTGGCGCTTGGCACCCAGACTACAAACGGACAGCCCCTATCAACCTACACTCCTGGCTACAACAGGTTCACACTGAAGATTCAATCATGTGCCCGATGACGAATGAAAACTCCGAGAAGACGGCCCGCTCATTCACCACTCAGGTAAGCCTTCATCTTCATGCTCCTTCACAGGTGGCGAGCTTGCTGGTGACCAACCTGAGAGACCTTGCTGGTGGCCATAGCCACATCTCCCTGTACAAAGAATCCAACGAATAAAGACTCCAAGAAGCTCTCTCAGGTTGGGCACCAGCAAGCTCACCATAAGCAACATCTTCCTGTACAAAGACCGCGACGTGAGAGAGAGCTTGCTGATGGTGAAGGCCACATCTTCCTGTATAAAGAATGCAATGAAATGCAACGAATGAAGCGTCCGAGAAGACGGCCGGCTCCTTCACAGCTGGTGAGCTTGCTGGTGACCAACCTGAGAGAGCTTACTGGTGGCCATAGACACATCTTCCTGTACGAACTTCATTGACTGGATTCGTCGATACTGTCTACGAGTTACATCTCACATGTGATTTTGCTGTGTTCGCGGCATCTGGTGTGTGCAAGGTGCAAAAGCATCATGTATGATTGGTCTCAAAGCATTCCTGTTGCAACCCCCAGTTTCGCCCGGCCCACGCAGAACTGGCTGGGTGGCGGCCCAGCCCTGAATTCAACTCGACTCCCAGTACTTCCACCATCTATGTTTCCAGATTGAGTGCTGCTTTTTGGGGACAAAGGGATGTAGCTGGTGCAAAGGTTGGGAGGTGGAGGTAATCCTCCTCATGTATTACTGACCCTTCTTTTCTCTTAAAAGTTGGAAAAAAAAAAAAACGGACCATTTCTCAATTTATGTGTGTCATCGTTCCACAGGGGACATGCAGTACAGACCCTAATCATCCGGACTTTGATGATGGCATCTTAGTTGTTCTTCATGATTCAACGTGACGACGATGGACTAGTGTCTGTAATACTCGGTCCCCAGCAGAACCCTTGCCCATTGGCAAGCAATTTCCTGGATTTCTTCAACGTAAGTAATACAATGCCGAGCTCGAGTCTTGCTTCTGTTTCCTAAAGTAAAACTGTGTTTCTCTTTTCTCTATTTGGTTTTACTTTAGCGGACATTTCATTTTCTCAGGTCTTTAACTTCTTTTTTCAACGTCCTGTTCTCACAACTCTCCATTTTCCAAAAACATTTCTGCCTTGTTTGCCACTCTGTTTTTTGGGTTCGCTGTACCAGAAGCCTCCACAGATTTCACTGGACAGCCAACAAGCCCCTAGCTAATTGACACGCCTCGAGGCAGGTAAAATCAACAGAAGTTCTCTCAATATTTACATATGTCAGAATGTGTACCGTACTTATGGCGCATCACGTGCATGCGTCGCACCCCACTAAATGAGGGTGGATGAACAATCGGGAAGGGGCGGGGTGTGGTGGCACACCCCTCTCATACCATTGCAAAAATGAAACTGGACATCGGACAAGGAAAAAAAACATCCGGGCCTGTGCACTACACCCCCCCCCCCCCCCGCTCCCCCTCTCATACCATTGAAAAAAAAAAAGTTGAAACCATCCTGACAAGCGCACACTGTGCGCTGTCTCTTATACACATCTAGATGTGTATAAGAGACAGGTGTGTGTGTGTTGTGTGAGTGTTCGGGGTGTCGCGTGTGGG